GAAGAAGTAAATACATAAGTAATGCTTTGTGTTGTCAGTTGGAAAATACAATGTTCAGGCAGCTTAATTCTTTACAAAGCACTGTTTTCAACTAATTTTAGTGTTGAGCATAAACCAGATCATACGGCTTCTTATTTCCACTCACCTTTGTGAAATGAAAAGGCATGAGGTAAACAGAATTTGTCTAAAGCAAATGTCAAGTCTACCCAAGTCATTCAATACATGTCCTTCATTAGTTGTAATGTTGACAAGCAGTTCGTTAACTTCATGGGCTTCAGTACAAGTCAGGCTGACTTTAGCACCACAGGCAAAGTCCACGTCAGTACTGAGGGGTTTTGCTTTTTGGTGTCTGGTGGTGGTTTGTTTGTTTTTTTTTTTATTTGAAGTTAGCACCATTTTTACTTCAATTGAAACAGACTGGTATTTCAAGCTTCTCATCAAATGACCAAGAATTGTATTGACTTTGGTTAGTTTCATTTAGATCATGCTCAAAACCTTTTAAAAAATATTATCAATTCATTTCTCCTTCAATAATTCATTTTCTGTGGAATAAAAATACCCCAACTCAAGCATTTTTGTAATTCCATACCTGATACATATAAAATTGGTGACAAAAGTTTTTCAGCATCAAATCTGTAATAAAACAAGTTTTCAGATGGCAATACTGACAATTTGATATTTTTAAGGAATATCATAATACAATCTTTCAAAACTAAAACCTCTTAAAATTTCTTACCTGGACACAGTCTGCAAAGAAAGAAAAATCACTTAAGAAGTGTTTGTTTAAACATACAATTATGTGCTTACCACTGCTGATATGTGGCTGTATAAACAGTTTTCTCTGAGACACTGAAACAACCCAGTGCTGTGAGATCAGTTAAACCATGATTTTAATTTCCAAAGTGGTGATGGACTCCTTGCTATACAGAAATCAGCTTGCCTCCACAGTCTTACTGCCAAGGAGTGTTTGGCAATAAGGTAGCTTCCAGAAATAATACCGAGATTCTGTAAGAAATTCATCTCATACATGAGTGTTTTCTAAAATACCCTAAAACACAACTTAGGACAAAAATAAACAGTTGTGAGAGAGAAATATGCAGGAGCAACATGCTGTCTCAGCACTAGAGACAAAGCTTTAGAGAACAAGTTATTATTTTTAACTTCTATTTTCTACCTTTACTGGCAAGTAGCACATGTCCAGGGAGGTAAGTAACTCTTTGTAGTGTCCATCGATTCATGGCTCAAAAGGATTTTCTAACCCAGAGATGCTGCCTTTATATTTAGCAGCCTTTAGTGGATTCCTCTTTTCAGTACTGGTTCAGTTAGTTTCAAGTCATGTAAACTTTAACATTAATGGGATTTTTTCTTTCTTTCTTTCTTTCTTTGGGTGTGGGGTTTTTTTTTGGTTTGTTTTGGTTTAGTTTTTTTTGCAGGGGGAAGGAGTGCCATCACTCTCCCACACACCTGTGGAGACCACCTCATTTTGTAGGCTTTGAGCCACCACCTGCAGATTCCATTTAATAACCTCTAGTTCTGGTCTGAGGTTCTCTGTCTGGAGAGACAGTGAACAATCACTCTCTATTCATCCTCTTCCTCTGCCACTTGTGATTTTGTGGACTTTCACCATTCCCTCTCAAACATCTGCCTTGCAGTCTATTTAGTTATCCTCATACAGGTGTTGCATGCTATTCATCATTCCTGTCACTCTCCTCTAAAATCTTTCCCAGTTTTACTACATGGGGTTGGAGATGGAAGAAACCAGAACTACACACAGTATTCAAGATGCACATATAGCACAGATTTATAAATATATATCATTTAATGGATTAATAATGCTTTATTTTTTTCTCTATTTGTTTTCTAGTAATTCCCAATATTCTAATTAAAATTTTAACCTCTATTAAACTGACATTTTTAAAGATATAAGAAAACCCTAAGATCTTGCTTCCAAGTAGGAATAACCACACCTTGGTGGTCCCAAGCAGTCAGGCAAAATGACCGTTTTCTCCTATATCCATTACTTCATATTTCCTGCACTGTCAGGAAAAAATTCTTCACTGAAAGGGTTATCAGGCACTGGAACACGCTACCTAGGGAAGTGGTTGAGTCACCATCCCTGGAGATATTCAGAAGACGGCTAGATGGGGTGCTCAGAGATATGGTTTAGCAGTGGACAGGTATGGTTGGACTTAATGATCTCAAAGGTCTTTTCCAACCAGGCGATTCTATGATTTAATCTACCATTTTATCATCCAGCTACTCTGTGAGGTGAGGCCCTTCCATAATTCATCAATCATCTTTACTTCTCTGAAGAGCATCTGCAAACTTTGCCATATTTCTATGCAGCCCTTTTTCCAAAAAGGTCACAAGTACACTGTAAAGCACAGGCCTAGGCACAGATCCTTGCAAGACTTCATTGGTAAGTTCTTTTTGCCATGAAATGTGACAATTTATTCCTGCTTCCTATTTCCTATATTTTAATCAGTTATTTAACCATCTTTGAACCCCTCCTCTTACCCTACAGCACCTTGCTTCCTGTAATAGGCTGGGATGAAACCTTGTCAAAAGCCTCCCCTTTATGAAGGTCATTTCCATAGTGCTGCCAGTGCTGTATGTGTAGCTCAGAGCCTGCTTTATCGACAGCTGAAAATGATTAAAACTTGACCCTTCCTACTCTCTTGATTCTACTGTGATGCATTTCATTCAAATTTCACCTGCTACTCCATTCCCAGTGTTCATCCCTTCTCTTCTTCCCTATCGAGTTGTATTACACACATTTAACAAAACTAAAACAGACGAAAATATTTCTTGATATTGTTTACAGAGCTTTCCAGCTTGTATAAGCTTGAAATATTAAAGGAAATACAGTCACATCAAAATTAGTCTGAAATCTGTTTTGAATTTTTTACATGTTAAAGTAAAATCCCACTTACTTTTATGTAATTTCCCACCATGTTCACACTGCAAGCCATATACAGTAACAGACAAAAACGTTTCATTAGACCTTTATTGCTAATGTGAAGAAAGATGTAAAGAGTTCTGCTGCATACTAAAGATGCACTGCAGGGTGGGGTTTTTTCTGGGGGGTGGAGGGGGACATATGGACCCAACAAGGTTTTGTGTCAGAAGACTGAAAGCTCCACATACAAAGCTGCAGGCCAATCAAGGATTTTGATATTCAGACAAGTGAAGCACTACTGATTTGAAAATGTAATTTTTCTTACAGTATACAGGTGAGTAGCTCATGCCTAATTACAGATTAAGACAATTTGAAATAGCACAACTTTAAAATCTTAATGCAGAAAATCAGACCATCAGAATTTCCAATGAAGCATTCACTCTGGAGCAGACAGGCAGCATCATAACACAAATACAACAATAGTACAGATGATTTAATTAAATTACTTCAACTCCTATGAATTCTTACAAACAAGCTCTTTAAGAAAGCCAGAAACAGAATTAAACTTTCATCTTTTCTGGCTGTTTTGGCCTATAGCAGTCAGCCATGCTCTCAAAGTGTGTTCTCACAGAAGCAGCTGTGCATACACAATAAATCACATTCGGACATGTTTCGATCCAAAAGTGGGTAAGGACAAGCAGAGGTGAGCAGCAGGCTGTCCCTCAACACCAGCACCAGCAGTTGCCATAGCAATGGGAAGAATCGAGGGAAGAGGCTGGTATTGATCTTTCCAGCCCATGTTCTTGCCATTTCTTCAGAGTGGTTTTATACAACACTACCACAACCAACACCGTCGCACATACCCAGGTTCTGAAGTTAATGGGAAGTACGAGTGATGAAAAGGCAATGGGGAGCAATTACTGCTGCTGTTAGTCTGAGCACGCAAAGAATAGCAGTAGAGTTTTCATAACGACAAGCTATGCGAGGGGAAGGGGGGGTTTCAGTACCTACAGGCATGTTGCACCATGCCTTCCATCTACACCTCAAGTTTTCTGGGCATTCTCCAGCAGGGCAGCATCTGCCTATTCTCAGCACTTGTAACAAGAGAGTCACCAATGACTAGATCAGGTATTGCAAAGAGTAGGATAAAGCAAAGGATGTTTTGTGCTTAGTTGAAAGCCTGTTACATCATGTCAGTGTACTGCAAAATGGCACAGAGTCAAAAGGATAAGAAACAGAGACTACTTACAAATCTTAAAGAGATTTTTCAGGTTAACAATGGCATAGCTCCAGAGTCCCTCAAAATATACTACAGTACAACTAAGTTCTATAAACGTGGGTTAATGCATTACATGAAAACATAAGAAATTTCAGTAAAGACTAATATTTTTTCCAATAACACCACATAGCGCAGAATATTATTTAGTTTGCAAATTAAAGAATGGTACTTTGTTGATGCTATTATAAGGCTTAAATGAAAAATACTTTTTGAAGGTTTCACTTTCATGATTAACATTTCTTCTTAGGATATGCAAAATTGGAGAAAAACTGTTCAAAATACTGGACTGAATTAAGAAAGCCTTTTAAGACCATTCTCGACTGTATCTATAAACACTGAAGAACGACCAGAATAGTTAGCAGAACGTGGCCCTAGCTAAAGGCATAAGGCTGCTTATATCAGAAAGATAAAATAATATTCTTGTAAACAAGTACATAACTTCTGCTACATGCACTGTATATTGTCCCAGTTTTATATCAGCATAACACCACCTCTGTAATCCAATATATTTGCATAAAACTGAAGTAATAAAGTAATAGTATGGGAAGTACCAAATATCTCCAGAAACTTCATAATTCACAAAGTAATTAGCTCATTTAAAAAAAAAAAAAAAAATCTAACTAGCACAGCCTTCAGAAAATGCATCATAAATTTTCCAAGGCAAATACAAAAGACAAATTAAAAATGTCTATATTAGTATGGATATTGATAACACAATTTTAACATATATATTTAGGAAAAATAGATCCTGAAAAAAAAAATCTAAACAATATCTATCAACTGTACAGATCAAAATAACAACTCCAACATAATACAAACAAATTATAACAGTATGTGATATTTAAGAGCTCTGGGAACCCTGTTGATAACAAGTCTGCCATCATAACTTAAAGAGGCAAATAGCCACGGGTCTGCTGAGGACCATTCAACTGCATATACACTATCTTCATGTTCTTCATAGGTAGCTATTACACTGTCCTGAAGGGGTTCTTTAATCCTAAAATTAAAGAAAAAAGATAAAAAAAAAGAAAATAGTAAGGATCTGTGAACACACTTGATTTAAAAGGCAATATTAAAGGTTACTAACATCTAGATATGCAACCTCCCATTTAAAGTACAAGAATGCAGTAGCAGGCTCTAAAAAAATATTTTATACCATGTATCTGCATGTACCTATGTTTTCGATAACACAGCACAGTCAAGTCAATGTTAAAGACCCCATTTGTAGGAACAAAGTACCTGCTATTCTCAGCTTCAGTGCACTTCTAAGTTTCTTGGAACCTACACCAAGCATCTCTCTCTACAGCAAGTTAAACCAGAGGCTATAATCTAAATGCACTTAAACACGCATTTTTATCAACATCTTTTCTCCCACTATGCTTGACCCCTTCCTTTCTCACTTTATTGCAAATTGAATTCTTAAAATAATAGATAATCTTATTAGAGATGAATAGGTAGGTAAGAAGTTGCAGTCCTTAACATCACAGTCTCTCCTGTGCTGCCACCCTGGACCCATTCTCTCCAGAGTAATGGAAAGGAGACGGAAGCACCACTCTGAACACTTTAATTTTTATCTCCCATTCCTAGAGTTATAACACCACTAGATTCTCTTCTATTATTGTATACTTCACCTCTCACTGCAATATCTAAGTTCCTGGTCACCTATATAATGAAACACAGCCAGATTCTCTTTTGCATTACAAATATTTAAGAACAGATTCAGGCAAATGTCTGAAGTCCGAACTACCCAGGAGTTATTAATTGTGCTCTGCTAGCTGAGAACAGCCCTTCCTCCCTCCACTCACAGAGCCAATCCCTCCTCTCACAGCAAAACCACAGCACATTATTCTGTAGCTACAGGGTAGGTGAGTTTTCAGAGGATGACCTTAGAGCTCCTTCACCCACAGAGGATCACCTCTGTCTGACAGAAATCAGTCAGCCTTTCAGAAGCATCCCCCTGCCTCCCAGAAACAGCCTTGTATTACAGCTGCAATCCTCCTAACAGAGAGCAAAGCCAAAGAGCCTTGTGAATGCCACTCAATCATTTAAACAGATGTTGCTACTACAGAAATGAAGTGTTGTTATTGGCCGTCTTTGCCCTTTACTGCTGCTTTCTGGAAGCACACGTCTCTACGATCCCAAAGTGTATATGGTATCACGTTTGAATCGCTTGCAGGGTATCGCTGCTCCACCTAGCCAGCCTAACCAGCTGTGATTCTAACATCACAATTAAAATTCAATTGAATTTAATGAATAAGCCAAAAGCAGTCTGATACTGCAGAATAGCTTCAGATATTTAGTTTCAAGGACTTTTATAATTTACTTATGCTATGTTTAAGGTCAACTAACAAAAAAAGGTCATAGCACAAACAACACACAGCCCCTGGTTAATTGCAAAGAGCAGGCTCCTTTTGCAGTTCCCCTGAATATGTACTTTGATACAAACCATCTAACAGCAGAGAGCTAATAAACACACACACTTCACCTCCTGCAATGTGTTTTTCTAACTTCCTGTTCAATGACATGCCTGGTTAAGTGAAAGTTGGTCAAGTCCCCAGATGGCAACGTGCTTCACGCGGTGCTCACCCACTTACCCACAACTCCATTATTCTGAAGGTTTCAAATATCTCTCCGGATAAGCAGGGGATTAATGCACAGTGCACATGGCTGTCAGGGGACACAACCGACTTTCAGTTAACCAGGAGCCTCGGTTAACCAAAGGTTGGATAAACAAGGACAAATAAGCTTCTAGATTACGCTCTTTTCTGTATGCTCAGAGTTGTTTCAGTGTTTCATTTAAATAACACAGTTCATCTAATCTAATTTACAGAAGTCATAGGGGAATGAGTGTTCAGGAAAGAAGCCAGGCAATGAACTTCTGTTTGACACTTCCATTTATAACTACAATTTTTAACTGTCTTTTATTATTGTCTACACACTTAATTTATTTTGGTGTATGAAAATAATTTTGTGCCTTGCCAGAAAAGGAAAGCATGCTATTCCATGTGGTTCTTCGGGCCACATGAGTTCAGTTTTCAGTGTTTTACTGTGTTTTAAATAGCACAGACCTATGATAACATTATTTATAAACTACTTGTGCATAAGAAATGCATAGTCTCGAGACAGTTACTGAGAATCTGAGAAAATCCTTATGGAAGTGATCACCTGGTGTAAGAGATCTAGATACTATAGAAGATAATCAGGATGGGGAAAAAATAATCTCATAAAGACATGTTTCAGAAACAATACAGACGATCCAGAAGAAACTGCTCATGAGCATCCTTTACAAACACTATGAATGAAAACAGATCAGCCTTTAAATTATATAATAGGTAATGAACCTATAAGGATTCTGCTAGTAAAATAAAGTGCAAAAGATTGTTCAAAATAATTTAAAAAAAAAATCTAGAAAGAGCAAGGTTGGTTTTGGCAGGTTTTTTTCCTCAACAGAAAACTCTTGGAGACAGACGACCTTACTCCATGTAAGGTCTTTTTCCAAGAAAAGACCTCAGATTTGTCTGCATTTTGACTGTGTGTGTGCTTTTTCTGGTAATCCAAGAATAGGCTGAGGGTACTATTTTAGAATCTATATGAATGTACAATACTTAAAATTGTTCAGTTTCTGAGTCCCACAACAATCTATTTACGCTTAATGATTTTTACACACCTTTTACACATTTTTATTTATTAAAGAATCAGCTCAGACTCTCCTAACTCCCCAGATATTAAATATAATTTGGTTAATGCAAGAAGGTACAGACTTCATAGCTATGACACTGACCTTTATTTAAGCAAGGTCAGCAACAAATACCTTGAAAAATAATATAAATATATATAAACAGAGTCTACAAAAACAATTATTTTGGCCACAACACATACTAGTGGAACACATACAAAACAACTTGTATTTATCCTAAGATGTTTTTGTCTATTTAGATATTTTAATTATCCTTCTGTTTTTATCAGTTGCTATAACTTTATTTCTCCTTAACATACAGTAGGTAATTTCAGAGCCTAACATAACATAGCACTGATGAGTATATTTCTTCTAATACTCTATTCCTAATGTATCAATGATTAAATGAATACCGCTATTCTTTCATGTGCATTATTCTTATCTCAGAAACTTCCAATTTCACAGTTACCAACTCCTGACAACAATGTATGAAAGGGCATTCAAAGTGGACTCAATACTAGGATAAAGTCAGCAGATCTTTGGTAGGTTTTGGAACAGAAAGGAGAGTTCAGGACCATAAATTTCTTCCCAGTTACAGTTCAGAAACAGGAAGAGTACCTGTACAGAGATGGACATGAAGCAAACTTTCTTCTGTGCTACTTTGATATGTATAATACAGGTTGTTACCAAATACAGAGATTTCTTTTTTTACATAAAAGTTGCAGGTTATGGGTGTAAAAATGCAGTTGATACGCTATAGCTAGTTTAGTGTACCATGGGTGTAGGTGCCAGGCCTACTGATCCCTTGACAGAGCAGCCTGACTAGACTATATTTGATAGGCATACCCCGTAATCACTTGTTATGCCTGGCAAGCTTAGTAAACTTTTATTCCTTGTCCTTAATCTCCCTGTCCCTTTAAAAGTTCCTTTAGTTTCTCATTTTCCTGTACTATTTTAAAGGCTTTATCTGGTTAGACTAAAATACCTTCTTCTCTCCTTATATATGTTCTTGCATTGCATCAACCGACAAGGCATCAAACTGTTGCCATCAGGAACTCATAGTAAGAAATGTGTAATCGCTACCTCCACCTGCATAAATTTAAGTCCTGTGCAACACAGCTGGAACTGGACTGCTTTCTCTGTAGTCTTACTCACATAGCACAACCCCTACCAGCTTCTGCTATGAATGGAGATGAGCTTTCATTTTACTAGATAACTTTGAGGTTAATTGTGTTATAGACTTGAGAGAGGAGCCTGTTAAGCGTTGGATAATTGTTTTCATGTAGAGAGCTGTTATTTCCAATTACTTCTCATGCTAACAACCACTTAATTTTGCAGTGCTTGCGATTCTGTTTTGTCACCACAATGTTCAATAACATATGTTTTTTTAGAGTCACCAAAAATCATTAACTCCGTATCACAGTCTTAAAGATCTTAGAAGTCTTAGCTGTGTAGAATAGTATTACAAGTCAACATTTTTAAAAGATGGGTATTTTTATTAAGTAAAAAATAAAGATTTGAAGATACAACTAGTACATACTCTTCATTTTTATATTTAGTCCAAGAAGTATTTTTACAAGCTATTTTATTCAGAATGTGAAAAATAGGTAGCCCATAAGGAAAGAGCCTTTTTCCTTCTTTCTGCTTGATATTCCAACCTTATTTTGAGAGAGATTTGGTCAGTCAGTCTGAAGGTGACTGACTGGAAATTATAGTTGCACAGACACCTGCTCTTCCTGATGCATTTCAAGATACACCTGAAAAAGACACTTTCTTTTTCAAGATTTGTGCACTATTTAATAGCAAACCAGATGTCCTCCAAAACAGGATAAAAATTAACCCCGTGAGAATATAACACTTTCTTGGAAGTCTGATATAAATGCAATTAAAAACAAACAAACAAACAAACAAACAAAAAAACCCCACCCACAAACCCACAGTCCCCCAACCTGACTAAACCATAAAATAAAACCCTGTGTTTTACAGAAGAAACAGTACCCATGGCATGGAATGGTGCAACAGACTCTTCAAAGAGGTCTCCAGGACAGAAACGGGTACTAAAGCCTATATACTTGGCACTAGTAGTTGACTAACAAGAAGTATTCCCAACAGCTGTTATCCCCTGCTTCATTAGTGCGCACAGAGCTAAACAGACATTCATCTGGCAACAGTTCAAGGCTGGTGAGCACCTGCAAACATCCTTCCAGCTCAACTCATAACAAGGAGGGCGAAAAAACAAAACAAAACAAAACAAGACTCTCACAGTAGCAAGCAAATCTTACAAAAACTAATGTGCTTTCCCAGGTTTTATAGATAATAGATTAGCAACTAAAAAGCATATATTTAAAAAGCAAAGGCAGTATTGATACTTTTATAGCCTCTGGGAACAGGCAAGGGCTCTATATCATCACTATACAACTCACCCATGATGTGGTTTACATCCATCTCATAGCCAAAGGAAAAGATGTGTTATATTTGTTGTATTGCTTTGCAAATTCTTGGTTTCAAAAATTCCTGTTCTAGAAACAATCACTTAATAAGGCAACCTACACTGCCTACAATCAACAGAAATTCAGAACTCCAGATAAGCTACTATACAACATCTGTCAGAACATTATTTACTTATAATGTTATTTATATTAATACATTCCCACCATATACACACAGGTAATTGTAGTCTCTTTTTCACTTCCATTAATACTATTTATCTTCCACCAAGAACAGAATAAATTGCTATCCCCAGCCAAAAGTAAGGAACTAAAAGGCATATCATATTTAAAATGCTGTTCTAGAAAATATGTACTGTTGATGTGACAACTTTCTAGGTACTTAATTTGATACCTTCATTTTCCAGGCACTTACATCACCTATTGCTTCTAGAGACATTTTGTACACTTAAAATGAACCATTTCCATATATAGAATAGCTTCCTTATTTAATATTAAAAAATGTTTTCCAAGTCCTTTTTATGAAGCCAAAATGTCAAAACTATTTGGAGCAAAACTACATCCTTACTAATAGAGGTGCAAGAGCAACCTTAAAAAAGCAACTAGAGAAGGAACCTAAACTTCATCTAGATTTTTAACTAAAACATCTAGCACACACAGCAGACTGTGAAACCTTTTTTCTAGTTGCCTTGTTTCTCATCCCATCTGACTATTCTTCATTTGAAAAGATAGTTCAGGAAGTAATCTACCTATTTCATCGCAGACAGCTTTGTGTATAAAAATAAGTTAACAAACATAAAACAACTACTCAGTGTAGACATGTAGAACATGGATATTTACAGTTACATAGAAAAATATAGGCTATAGCCTGTCGGTCTCAAATATTTTACATGAGTTTCAGTATCATTATCTTCATTTTGTAAAGGAAGAGTTTGCTGAAGATCATCATGTAAGCTTGTTGCAAAATTAGGAAGCCTCAGTCCACCCTAGATCTACAGAACTGTCTATATACATATATATGTATTCCTAAAGAATTATAGAAAGGAAAACAAGCACCATACATTGCACAATGAAAAAGTTGCAAGCAGACAAAAATGGAAGATGAAAAATTATTATTTCAGCATTTTGGTTAATCCTTTACCAAAAAACCCATCCCCCCAAAATTCATATGCAAAACATGTGATTCCTCACACACCCAAGTGGAATCGTGTTTACAAATACATGCAATAATGTGCATTATTCTCTACCAAGAGAGCTGAAAACAAAATTCTGTTTTGCTTGAAGTAGGTCTAATGAGTTATTGGCTTGTAGCGCAGTCAGCAATAGTAAGAGCAAAATTTACAAAAAATAATGTATTTACAGTTCCTTTCTTCTGCGCATGCAGAAGCTCACCATTAGACTGGCCATGTCTCCTAAAGGTTAGAACACATACACAGAAAATGCAAAAAGCAGATTTTCAACCCTCGCTTAACCCTGATTATTGTATGTGCTTGACTTGACCCAGAGTTCCCTTAAAGTGAATCTTTTCAGTGACCTAGCGTGCTTTAGGACCAGCCCTCAGCATCCCCTTCCTACCAGTGAAGATACAGTGCCAATCAGATTTGAAGAGTGGATTCCACCCAAGATTCTGAGTAAAGAAGAATTAAGTAGGAATTAGAACTACTTACCTGAAAGGTCTGTATACAAAAATCCTAGTCAGCAAAAAAATAGCATGTTAACCATTACAATGAAAAGACAAACTATAAGCATCTGCATAAAACTCAGGAAACCTCATACTTCTCTTCTTGATGCTGGTCCTCTTGGTCACTTAGTTCATCATCATCTACCATATGCCCAAATGGTTCAGAAGAAATTGATACCATATTAGACAGGATAACTCTGCTATCACTGCTTCCTGTAAGGATCAGCTGATCATGAGAATGATTGTATCTGACATTCCAGACCCTAAAAAAAGAGTTAAAAAAGAACAAGAAGCTATTCTTGGAAGGTAGTACATAAATATTAAATGTTTTTTAAAAAAACAGCACTAAAAACTGATCTTTGACTTAAATGCTGTAAGTACACATAGAAGTGACATGCTTCATTCCAAAACCTGGTTTTTGCCATCTTTATTTGGCTTTTAAGCTTCCATGTCATCTATTTTCTGTGAGATGTCTTTAAAATTCAACAAAGAAGTTTTGAAAAAAAAAAAATATCCAAAGAACAAAACACACCATTCAGTGCTATCATTCCTTGAGGGTACATGCCAATTCATTGTTTAGTAAGTCAGATAAATATTTCAGTTCTAAATTTAAAAACTTCCCCAAAGCAAAACAGGATTAGAAATAACCTGTTAAACAAAAATCTCACAACGTTCTTACAGTAAAGTTTAAAAAAGACCCTAAAACAAAAGTAGGATTATATTTCTTTTCAATTTTTACATTTTATCAACATATCAAGTTAATACCAAATGTCTTATGGTTCTTGTTTTATTCTTTTTCTTTTAATCTTCTGGAAAAAAGTATAAATGCTGCTTCTGTTAATTCACATCTTAATTCCCCTCCAAGTAGCTTCAGGGTCCAGATTTATTTTGCAAGAATTATTCCAACCCAAATTTTATAAAATATGAACCACTCATCTTTTCTTAACCACTGAAGTCTGCAAACGTCAGACAAGATTCTCTCCTTGCTCCAGCCACAGGCTAGAGTAGTAGATACAGGGTCTAAATATTATCTCAGAGAATAAAATTACTTACTTGCATAGTCTGGCTTAAGGGCTGCAAAGAGCATGAAAAAAGTGGGACTGAATTATTGAGCATTTCCACCATTTGACAACAGAAGGATAGATGGCAGCTGCTGTATCCAAAACAGCTCAAGGGCTTTTCTGCACATCAGGTGCAGCAGATCAGGCTCAATTTGGGAAGGCACACCTCACCTGTGTCCCAGCTGGCCCCAACAAGCCAAGTTCTGTGCTGTGCTTCTCAGAGGTGCACCCTATTTCCCAACAATGGTAACAACAGTGTCTTGCCAATTAGACTAACATTCTCTAAACTCTTAATTTACAAACACACAAGGAACATTCACATGTTGAAACTTTTCCTCCTTGCAGAAAAATTATTATTCACAATAGCACAAACATAGTTAGCTTGCATTGTTCCTAAACAGTAAAATAATTAGCTGAATAAATTACATAAGCCATCCACCCCCAAAACAGCATGCAGATAATTTGTTCTACCAGTGGGAATGCTCCTCTAGTGTCTTCACTGGTTCAGTGACATTTCTTGTGTCCCAGAATTTCACCTTGCAGTCATCTCCACAGCTAGCCAGGTAGTACTGTTTATTGGGATTAAAGTCTAGGTCTCGTACCAGCTGTCCGTGTGCATTTTCTATGCAATATATCTGTCTGTAAAACACATTAAAAAAATTAAATGGTCTATAAAAAGCTAACTGCACTCCACTGACAGGAATCTGTTTCCCTGGAAACTTGCATAATCCCTTTAGCACCCGCAGACCTAGAGTTCCCATTGCTAGTGCATAGTTTAGGGAAATCCCAGCTGTTAACAACAGTGACTTTTATAGATTTCTCAGCTTGCATTGAAGCTTTGCTCTTTCCTTGTTTGCATTAGGATCATCTGGAGCTAAAAAGAAACAGTAGTTCCAGATGATTCCAGCACAGCACTCTAACAACTGTTATGAAATGTCTGCTACTAAACCACAATATTTTCAGATAAGAGCTTCTCCACCCCTGAAGAGTTATAGCAATTCTGTATTTATGACATCTAATTCTCTCTGTATGAAAAGCTGAGATGTAAGGGAGGCAACAGATATGAACAACAGCTTTTTATTATTTCCCTATTTTGAACTTACCTTCTTGAGCTCTGGCATTTATCATTAATTCCCTGTCGCCCTTAAACTACTCAGCCATGCTCATACTCATGCATGTGGACCACCTCAGAAAACATTTGTAGTACTGCTAACAACAGTATTCAAAACATCACATTTCATTAGTTCATCTCCATACCTCACCTCTTATAATTAGGGCTGGTTTTTTGTTTCTGCTATTGCACTACCAGTTTTATGTAGACTGTACCTATTCCCATGCTCATTCTCAAAGCCGCCATCTACCAAAGTTCTGCTTAGATTTGACAGGGTCCTACAAACTTCACTAGAACTTGTCAACATTTTGTGAGCTTTTTTCTTTTTTTAAATTAAAAATGTTTATGTTCAGAAAACATAGACCGACCAAAACTTTGTTTTTCCTGTGCTGTATATATGCTCTCCTCTGAAGACCAGAGAGAGAAGTCTCTTGCTGTTAATATCTAACTACGAATATAAAGCAAAATAGCTCCAATAAGGAGAGATACAGAGCATACCAGGCCTATTCTAAGCCCTATCCTGACAGCTATGGCAGTCACTTGGGATAGAGGGTATCACCTAGATATCCAACTTCAACAGTCTGCTCAGAGTTTGAGATGTTAAGGATGTCACTCAAGTATGCCCTTCTACCAGGTATTCTGGGATCTAGAATCAATATTTCCTCTTAATTTCTTGAAACATCTTTATGGGAAAATTATTAAATCTCAAGTATGCTTGCAGCAATAAAAGACTTCTTGCCTCCTTTATTGCACCTTTCACTGCTTTCTTGTACTTCTTGCATTGCTCATGGAGATGTAAGGGCTTAAAAAGAAATAGCACTGTCTGCTGTATTGTAGTGCTTACCATGAAAGCCTTAAGCCCAACTTTATTATTCTGACCACTTGATCCCTTTCCCTCCCAAATATGAAAATTCTTTTCTTTCACCCTACCATCCTACCTACAGCAACAATACCTTCACTGAATTTCCCTCTTACACCATAAGATTAAGGCCAGAACACATTAACATTTCCTCCAGCTACTGGCTCCACCTTCTCATATTTTTTTTTTCTTGCATATTTTTTAGAATTTATTCTTGGAGTCTGAATTTTCCTGATAGAATTCTCTCTCTAAATCCATTCAGCCTAGTGTCTGTCTCCTCTGCTTCACAAGCTCTTCCCTGATTAAGATTGCTTCCTAGGTTAGTTTAGTAGTCTTCCCACCAACCCCTTCACCTCCCTCTCTTCTTTTTTTGCTATGTCTAAAATCATTCACTCCCTCTATCTTACAGTTATCATAACTGCACTCCACAGAAGTAGCCATTCTAGCTACTTCTTTAGTATCTTTCCTCTCAACTCCTTGCTGGTACAGCTGTTTTCTGTGGTTGATTTCCCCCCCACCTCTCATTTTTTGCTTCTTATAACTACCACAGTTTATACTGCCCTGACCTTAAGCTCCTGCCTCTAGCCAAACTAGTCATTATGAAATATTTATATAATTCTAGACAGATTACAGCGAGTGTAACTGCAGATTAGACTTATTCTTGCACATGTTTTTCAAGTACACCACAAACTGCTCTTTGACATAGCCCAGTGTGTTGGGTTTGTGTGGGAGGGGGGAGCCTTTTCTTTTTTGGTAGCAGGGGAAGGGCCACCTTATGAGAGCAAAAAGCTCCCCTGGTTCCAAGGTGGAGACACCCCAGCCCAGGCTTGGCTAATGAGCTCTAGAGAAACGCCTCTGAGAATCTATATTTGTAAGGGGAAGGACTGTTCTGAAAAGAAGAAGGTATGGTACCTGGAGGAGAGACCATTGACCTAACAAAAGACGACTATCAGCCTAAACAAAGGACAGACATAGAGAGCTTCGTTGCCACAGGAAAAGATGGAGACCCACACCCAGTTCAATCGCATGGAGTAGGAGAAGACA